CTTACATCTAGTCGTATACTATAGTTGTTTATCATAGTTGTATATACAGTTATATAGTAAAGAGGTTGAGGATGTGTGTATTATCATTGAAGAGGGGTTTCAGAAAGCACAGAGGAAAGATCTAGGAGGGAAGAGAGGAGAGAGAGAGAATAGACCAGAGGAGAAACAGCTAACAAAAAACAACAATAATTCACGGGTAGAGAGTGACAGTTTTTATTGGGAAATGAGAAGAGTGAATGCCCCCTCCTTTGTGGGAAGAAGAGAGAGTTGAGATGATAGGTAATAAGATGCCACCACAAGTTTTTAAAGGAGAACATGGAGTGAAAAGATTTACATCAGCTCATTCTCTTTGCCAATATTAAATATAGTTCTTTAGACAGAACTGTACTAAAAAGAGAACGGAATTTCAAGGAAATAAAATTCCAAATAATTTCAGTTAGGAAGTTAAAAATAATTCCCCCCCCCTTTTTTTTAAACTTGGTAAGTTGCAGGGTTGTGGAAACTGTTAAAGAATTCAGTATCAATTTCCTTGTAGAAACCTTCCAGTTTTTCCATACCCTTTGGTAAGTGCTGAAAAATAGTCACAGGCTAATTTCAGTGACCAGAGCGAAATCAAAGGATGGAAACCATGTCTTTTTTTAATAGTCAATTTTGTAAAACAAAAATTCTGCCAAGTAAGTCAAACTCACACTCCACAACATGAACAGCCATCCTGTATTTGCCCAGGTTTAACAGCACCTGCTTCCCACACAAATCTGTAAATGTTAAAAAAACAAAACAAAACAAAAATCCTACAATTAAGCGTGCAAGGTGCACAAACCTACCATACTTGGTAATGCCAGAAGATGCTTCCATCTGGAACATGAATTTAGAAGAAAAACTTTTCACCATCCTAAATTTCTGAAGACAACTTCACAATGTGTGCATATCATACCGGTTTGCTTAAATCTATCCGTGCACCTAATATTCTCTGTATATCATTTCCTTATCAATGCTGAGAACATAATCGGTGCTCAGTCCTTTATAACAATTATTTATTTAATTATAATACCAATTTCTGGGGGGGAAAGAAGAGAAAAGTAGAAGGGATTGATGTGTAGTAAATTAACTCGGAGGTCGGAGAGGCATGGGCTTAGCTTTGCTACTTACTTGTAATGTGTACTGTTTCTGCATCTTTAAAATGGGTTTAATAATACCAATCTTTCAGGATTGCAATAAAAATTAAAGATACATATCTAAGACCCAAACAAAAATCTAAGACCCAGCACAGTTACAAGAATACAGCAGGCATTCGGCTGTTAATATGACTATGCCTTATTTCCCCCTTCCCCTCTCCCACACCTGTTTTTAAGTACCACAAGGGGAGATACCACTTATTCATTTTGCTGCCTCCTGAAATTACAAAGCATTCTTATGCACCTGGCACTTTCCACTCTATATTTTTTATCTATACAAATGTCTTATTTCCTCTATTCGAATGTAAGCTTCTTGAGGACATGGGTATTTAGCTCAGAGTCTTATCTACAGTGGGCATTCAACAAATATCTGCAAATTAATGAATAAACTGAATTAAAGAATATATTGAAAAAATAATTTAATATTGGACAAATATGTGACATATAGCCCTATAAATTTTAAAAAAACAATTTTAAGCTTCAGAAACATTATTGTCATTCTTTTTTTTTAAATGTATTTTTATTGATTTCAGAGAGGAAGGGAGAAAGACAAAAACATCAATGATAAGAAAGAATCATTGATCAACTGCCTCCTACACATCCCACACT